ATGAGCAGTAATAGTAGGTTTAGCGTGACAGTAGGCCACTACCAAAAATTCGTATACTCTCCACGGACGTTGTTTTGTTGCTCGCTGCCCTTTAGGGTTGTGAGGTACTAACACTATGCTTGTGTGCATATCCATAGCGCTCAACCGTCTGTTCCTCTATATTTAAGATATAAAGTAACAGTAAGATATGTAGCGTAATATATGTAATCTTACGTAGATAGATACATGTGAAGTAATGCCTTTAGCAGTTTATGCGGTCAATGTGTACATTTTAGAGTATTATAATCTTACTATAAATTGGGGAATTTATGTCTGTGTGTGTGTGTGTCCGGCTATACGTTTCCGCACCGCTCAACGGATCCTCTCCAAACTTGGTAGGAACATACTACACATCATGACACGTTGCATAGGCTATTTTTTTCTTCACAGTTTCATTTTCCCATGTCACTTTCAAAACCATTTAGAAATTGTGGGAAATTCGCACCTAGCCCAGCTCAAGGATTTGCATCTCGACTAGCCCATGCAAGGACCCACAAGCAGCGGTGTGCCCTGGCGAATCCACTGCAAGGTTTCGTGCAAATCTACTGTATTGCCTGTGTTTGCGGTTTGTAAGTCTACAGCAGCGACGTAAGTCGGCCAGTGGCGTAGGAATGAAACCAAAATAAAAAGTTTTTTTTAATAAATATATAAACATACACGGCGTGGTAGGTCTACGGCAGTGGCACGGCACGTGTCTAGTATCCTTTAATACAGTAAAGACGCGCGTGTTAAGAACATAGATTTTTCCAATTAGCCTCAACATGTGTTCGTATATAGAATGGTGGCTTACTAAAAATTAGTGACTCAAAAGTTCTTAAATAGGTTCTACATTGTTTTACTTTTAATATATATACTCGACTTGAAACGTCCGCTCTAAGCGCGGGCTTAAGTAGACTTGGATGGCATGTGTTACAGTACAGTAGTGTTATGTGTAAGGTGTTAATATGGAAGTTAGTTGTTGCACATGTTGTTTTATTTATGGTTGAGATAATATTATTGATCATAATATTATAGTTATATAATATCTAATTATATATATTATTATATATTATATAGTATGATAGACTTGTTTATGTTGAGCATTGGCATTGGCATAGGCATTGGATTGTTATCTGCATCGATATTGGTGAGTCTGTCTTTTTTTATTTTACCTGTGTTCTTTTTAAAGTCTTTTATCATATGCATCGGAAAATGTAAGAACCTACTTAAAAATCTTAAGCTAAAACAGTGTTCTTATGTAATGGGTCTCAATGGGAAATTTTAGCCACACATTCCTTAAATCTATGCTCTTAGTACGCGGGTTTTACTGTAATGCATTTTGCGAGTTACACATTAAACATACAATGTGCGCATATATGCGTTCTACTGAAGATGGCGCGAGATGTCATATTTCGACGTAAAAGGGATAGCATCCACTCTGCGCGCGAACTCGTGTTATTGCACACCAGTTTGCCGATGTAAATGTATTTATCCCGTACAATGTATTTCTCCATTGATTGTACTTTTTCGAATGCTAGGGTTTCTTTCACTTTTTGTCTACTACTTGCTATTAACTTAATTAAGAAAACATTGCCGGCTCCATCATGACGGGCATTAGCCCTGCTAGGAAAGATAATGGGAGATAAGGGCATAGGCGATGCCCCCGAAAGTCTGCTATGATAAACGAAATGCCGTTTATTCATAAAGTTATGGCGGAAAAACCGAACTTTCACGAAGCAACCTTAGAGGCGTGTAGGTTGCTGACTGATGTGGATTCGAGGCGCTGTGATGCCTGTGGGAGGGGAGGTTTAGGAGCCAATATCTCAGCCTAGGAGTATCGTATTGACAAGCGGTTGGTCTTGTTTTAGAGAGCAAAGAATTCTGCTTAATGCAGTACCATAAAATTATTCTAGACTCGCAGGCAAAGTAGAATAATCATGTAGTGAAATAGCACTATTTTCCCGTTTTTCCGTTGTACACTCTAGGTATTATTAGCTCTTGATGATATGATAAGATATTACTAGTCAATGTAGTCATGTTTCGTACCAACCTTAGGCTTTACATTTACCTATAGACACATAGAATGTACAATGAAACGATGTCGAATAGCATGTCGACCCCAGTGTAACACAAATGTATGGAACACACTAGCTGTCATTCGCTGAACTTATAAACTTTCGCACGAAGAACATACATGCTAGAGTTTGTGAAGCACACAAATTATCGTACACGGAACACACAAACAATCACAGGGGGAACACATGAACTCTATTACACGAAACGCAAGAACTTGTATGGGCTGAATATACAAACTGTGCTACACGGAACACACGAACTGTCGTGCATGGAACACACAAACTGTCGTGGGCGGAACATATGTACTGTCATGCATGAACCACACACAAATTATGGCACACGGAACACACACCATCGTGAGACACACAAACGCTGCCTAGACCGTCGTTGTTCCTCGCTGAAACACCTCACGGTGTGTTCGTTCGTTCTCGGCGCTCAGGTTCGCGATCGCCTCTCGCATCACCTGGTGAATGATTTCCTGTGCAAATTTGTTCGTTTCATCGGTCCTACTGAAGCCATATGTAGGCTTCACCGAGGATACGTCAGCAACAGTAGCATTAGTAACTGCAGCAGTATCATCACCATCAGCAGCAGCAGCAGCAGCATCACCAGCAACAGCAGCAGCAGCAACAGCAACAGAAGCAGCAGCAACATCACCACCACGAGCAGCAGCAGCAGCATCACCAGCAGCTTCCCGCCTGACCTCACCGGGCTTTACGTAGCCATGGGAAACCCCCGAGCAGAGCTGAGCATCTCCGGTGGCAGCTATTTCCGCGACAACATCTGAGCTGATCGTCGTCGCGGCAACGGAATGCTGAGATGGATGCGTGGCTTCGTTCGCCTCGACACTGCTCCCAGCCTTGTGCGGCATCGCAGCGCCTCCGTCACGCCGCGAATCGTCAATAGATGAAGCCACCATCTCTGCCGTCGTCTCACCGGTGCACTCTGGGGAGCGGAATGCGTCACGGTCGCCCGGAGTGCGCGCCGCTGCGACGCCATAGAACTCCTCACTAGAGGGCGTGCTGTCGGCGGTCTGCGAGGAGCAAAACAAGCGTAGCCTGCTGAACAATCCCGTGCCGTGTCGCCGCGCAGCCAGTTGCGTAGGCCGCCGCAAAAGGCCTAGAAAAACCAGAAGCGAGACGGTAGGGGGATGTTGCACACGAGAGGACGCGTACGCGCGAGCGCGAATTCAAAAGATCTGCTGAAAGCAATTACGAAACCGTGTACGTATAAGGTCAAACCATCACCTTAGCATTAATACGTTGATCGACTGGTCGGTCAGTTAGTCGGTAGGTCTATCACTTGACCGGTGAGTCTGCCTATTGCTCGGTCAGTCGATTGGGCAGTCGGTCTGCCCATCGGTCGGTCGGGTGGGCGGTCGATCGGTCAGTCAGTCGGTTGGTCAGTAGGTCTATCACTTGACCGGTGAGTCCGCCTATTGCTCGGTCAGTCGATCGGGCGGTCGGTCGGTCGGGGTCGGGCGGGCGTTCGGGTGGTCGGTCGGTCGGGCGGGCAGTCAGTCGGGCGGGCGGTCAGACGGTCAGTCGGGTAGGCAGTCTGCGTGAACCTGCTGAATTACACCTGGCTGTTTATTTAGCTGCAGATGATAACAAGTGCCGCATAGCCACAGTGCTCATCTGAGGTCTGCTGCTCTACTGTACTGCCCTTCACCATGGCACAGGGCTTACATTTCCCATATTTAGGGCCTGTGGTGCCGCGAAGGGCAGCACAGAAAGAGCCAAACAGATAAGGTAGAGATAAATAATGGTGTCACGAGACATAGGCGCATGGACCTAGCGGGTTTAGGGGTAGAGAGGGGGAGCTATGACCTTGTTAACAATTAAAGGAAGGGGAATAGCGATACAAAGGTTTCTGCTCATACATACAGACATGTAGAGTACAGCTATGAGCAATGCTGCTGTGCTAAAAAATTACTCAGCTTTGAGTAATAAATTCAGTGAACACATCTGCATTGCATAAACAGGACTTTGACTGGGTGCTATTAAATATACAGACTGCTTTAGAAAATAATATGATTTAAGGAGCGTAAACCTCGTTCAACAAACTTTTGCCTTTGCAACTGAACTGTGCAAATGTAGCATTTCACATCCACACAGGTATGGGCTCTAATAGTAAAAGCAGTTCAGTCCTTTGGTAACAGTCAACAAATCAATGTTTAACTCTCCTCTTGAGGGTCAAAAGGTCACCAGACAGCTACTCTTCACACATCAGCGAAGAGCACATTTCATGGTCCTTTCAATAAAGCCATAAAAAATGGTAGGTCCCCGCTTAAACAAAAATGTTTTTCACATGGTCTGTCAGACCATGTCCTTAGCAAATGTCTACAATCTGCCCTTTGTCCCACTGCCCTTTGACCTGTGACCTCCACTTTTGGCACAGTGATGGGTTTTCCCACCATGACGTTATGTACCGATTATCAAGAGCATACATAGGTCAAGCCGTTTAGATTTGTACCACAATTCCGCATTTCCTCCCTATACCTTAAGTTAAGGGGGGAATCTTCGCCCTTCCTTTAAACATCCTAACCTTCGACCCTTGACCCCCCAGATTCGAGATCCCAATGTGTTTTAGGATTACCCCCCTACGTCCCGAATTTCGAAACCGTGCATCAAGCCGTTAGCAAACTTGTGCACAACTGCTGACGGACGGACGGACGGACAGACGCTCATGCCATTGTACAAGCTCCATCTTGACTATGTCAGAACTAATGCGGCATTCTTTGCAAGTTTTCCCCAACCTTGTGTAGAACACGCGTCCTCTCTGCCGTACGATCGTAGGTAGCATCCACGAAATCCACGTGCCTCTGTTAGGAAGCTCATTCACGAAACTCATTATTACCTGCGTGATGCACAGGCTATGCACCTACATAGCGGGTAGGCTTCGTATTTCTGCTGGCGGTGGGCGACAGCAGAAGCAACACTTATCAAACATGTATGCAAAAATCATGATCCACGACTTTCTGCATTTACGAGACAGAAGTGTAGTAAGCAGTGCGCGCCCTTTTGTCGAGGACTAAAACTGCTGATAGAGTTTTCAATGAACTCTCGGCTCTACGTTGTGGGTTTCGTCATTCCAGCGTACACGATCGAGGGCCGTGTTACTGCTAGCCTGCTCTCTCTCTCTCTCTCTCTCTCGCTTTATTACCTCCGCGCAACGGACTTGCAGGGAAGTAATGTAATCGGTCTCGTGTGTGTTCGTGTGTGTGTTCGTGTGTGTGTAGCGTTGGCGCGATCGATTCAGCACCAGCTCGCCTTAGGGCGTCCAGTCAGCAGCAGCTCGCCTTAGGGCGTGCAGTCAGCAGCAGCCAGCAGCGAGCCAGCTGTTATACACATGTACACATGTTACACGCTCGCGGAGGTATGCACTCTCTTTGAGTGCCCTCTGTCTAGTTAATATACATATATATATATATATAGATAAAGTTATACGGACACGGTTGTACTTTTGCCTCTGTTTATTGCATACAGAGCTGTTTCGTATGGAGCGAAGGCTCCATACTCATCAGTGCCTAATACAGAGTGATCTATTTAGAACATCCCGAGCAGTATAAAAAACATCATGCATAATGTGTTCTATTGTTCGTATTCATGCGTGCGCGTTCTAATGAAATACTAATTAGAGCACCATTGTCGGTGACTGCTGCGCGCTGGTGCTAAACTGAATTCATTGTAAGAGTTCACTTATCGTTGAGTGTGGAGCATTCGCTCCATACGAAACAGCTCTGTATGCAATAAACAGAGGCAAAGGTACAACCGTGTCCGTATAACTTTATCTATATTTGCTCTACTCATGGTAGTATTGAGCACTCTCGACACACGAGTTCATAAACAACCATTGGAATCTATATATATATATATAAACACACGCATAGAACACTGACTGTGTCTCTCCATGTTCGTAAGTAGCCACCCACAGGCCATCTACTAGCCAATATGCCGTCTCTGCATTTGGGAGCGTGACGATAGACGAAAGTAGTTTGAAAGTGGGAAACAGAACAAAAATTTTAATTGACAATAATTCTCATCGTACAATACTCGTCTGCAAAATCAGTCTTAAACAAGGTACAAAGATTTTAATGCGAAACAAAGGCAGAATGGAGCCTAATTTATTAAAAATAAACATTCAAAATGAGTAATATCATCAGTACTTTGGAAAAATATAAATACTTTTCCAACCAAGGTCAACGTCGTGGGATATAAGTTCATACGTAAAGGAGCAGCAAATTACAGGAATGCATATTTTACAGTCATGTCTAACAAATAATAACCGCCAATGAATAGTACGAATATTTTGTAGAATGCTATTCTGGCAGGTCTCACAGATGGAGAACTGGCAACAACACTCAATAATTGGCAATTGCCATCACATTTACCTACGTCTTGCAACCGTTACGGGTGCAACGCGGCTGTGGGCACGATCTTCCGACTAAATAGAATTAGATCACATATATAATAATATTACCACATTATCACTACCCTTACAATCGTAATTAGGGCAGCCAATGTTCCGACTAGATAACCCTCCTACTACCTACCGCGAACAACACATATACGATTATGACGTTGTTATAAAATCTCATCAGACGATAACAAATGTGTGTGAATCAGACAAGTGGGAATCTCTACTACAGAAACAGCCACGTCTCGCATGCTTTACCGAGCAGCGGCCCATGGCAATGTTCAGAAACCATGTTTAGGAAGTGTCTCCAGACGGTTTGGGAAGGCAATGGTTTTTTTTCTTCATTCATCTTGCTTCCTCTCCTTGTTCGCACGCGGCAGCCCCAGCCGTTATAATTCGGTATAAGGCATTGCTATCAATGATATAAACAGACAGGAAATTCGCAATCAGCATGGAAAATCGGAAGGGACGAGAAAAAAACACAGCTGCAAGCCGGCATTCTGCATATCGGCACGCCATCTTGACGTATCTCGCGACGTGTGCCATCAGACACGCCTCACACGGCGACCGATCCTCAACAGAATCAACAGAATTGAAATACGACGCATGCTCTCGTGGATCAGTCGTGATCCACGAGAGCATGCGTCGTATTTTAATTCTTTGGGAGGGACGTTATCACCTTGGGTCTGAGCAGGAATTTAAAGGGAACACGACAAACTGGAGGAGTGACAGCTAGGCAACTGTGGCACGCAAGGAGGGCAACCATAACGAGTAAGAAAGGCAACCATGACAAGTAAGAAGGGCAACCATGACAAATAAGGAGAGCAACCATTACAACTAAGGAGGGCAACCATGACAAGTAAGGAGGACAACCATGACAAGTAAGGAGGACAACCACGACAAGTAAGGAGAGCAACCATGACAAGTAAGGAGAGCAACCATGACAAGTAAGGAGGACAACCATGACAAGTAAGGAGGACAACCATGACAAGTAAGGAGAGCAACCACGACAAGTAAGGAGAGCAACCATGACAAGTAAGGAGGGCAACCATGACAAGTAAGGAGGGCAACCACGACAAGTAAGGAGGGCAACCATGACAAGTAAGGAGGACAACCATGACAAGTAAGGAGGTCAACCATGACAAGTAAGGAGGGCAACCATGACAAGTAAGGAGGTCAACCACGACAAGTAAGGAGGACAACCACGACAAGTAAGGAGAACAACCACAACAAGTAAGGAGGGCAACCATGACAAGTAAGGAGGACAACCACGACAAGTAAGGAGAGCAACCATGACAAGTAAGGAGGACAACCACGACAAGTAAGGAGAACAACCACGACAAGTAAAGAAAGCAACCACGAC